AGATATATTTTAGACAACAGGAAAAAACTTTAAGGGACTATTAACATGACTGAGACAGTGGCATTTGGGGTTTTTTTTAGTGCTATCTTTTACAGAAGCATAATGAAGTGTTCACAGACTAAGTGGTATGCTGTATAAGATTTGTTTTAAAATACTCTAGTTAAAGAAAAAGGAGGGGGCTTCCACTTCCAGGAAGATGGGGTACACGGGGTGAGGCCAGAAGGAAATGGATGATGTGGCTCTTGACAAGGGACCACCAGGGATTCTTGTGGGGACAGAATGTTCTGTATCTTGACTGAATCAAGGTCAATATCCTGGTTGTGATTTTGTACTATAATCCTGCAAGATGTTACCATGAAGGGAAATTTTGGAAGGGTGCAAGTGATTCCTCTGTATTGCTTCTCACAGCTCCATGTGAATCCCAAAAGCAAAAGGTAATTGATAAAATGAAAACATGACGTGGCAGGAGACAAATGAAAAAGAATGGCAGAAAAGTTTATGGCTAGAGGATTCATTATAATCTTTTTCTTTCTTCATTTGCTTGAAAATTTCCATTAAAAAAGGGTTTCTTAAGGTTTAGAAAAGTAAACTTTGCAATTTCCCTACAAACTGGTATTATCTCCTGATTTTCCTAACTGGTGTGTCCGCAGACTTCCAAATTCCCACACCACTAGGCTATTCTACACACTCTTGCTACTTGTTTCTTTCTAAAATACTATATATATATTATATATAAAATATACACTATATATAGTGTGTGTATATATATAAAACTTACTCTATCACTCCTCGCTTAAAAGGAACTCTGCTACTTCAGCATAAAGTTCACGGTTATTAAAAATAAAAAAAAAAAAACCCTCCACAGTCAGGCCTGAGCAATTGTGTGTTCATCTCCCACACACCCTCTGCATAAACCCTGTACTTTGGTCAAACTAGACTCACAGTTCCACAGATATAATTTTGGACACAGTACTTGTGCCTGTGTGCCATTCTCCTGCCTGCTACTCACTCTCTACTCCACAGACCTAAATCTCACCCATTTTTACAAAGCAGAACAAAACCTATCTTCTTCATGAAGTTTCCCCTTCAAAACAAGATTCTCAAGAGTAAGGATCATGTATTTTATCGCAATGCCTACTAAACTAGCCTTCCTGATACAATCGAGGTTTTCAATGGAAGGATGTGGATTTCACTGAATGAATGTTTAATGTAAAGACTTGGAGAGATTACCAAATTTTAGAAAAAAATTTAAAAGAAGAAATGTTAAAGAGATTTAAAAATAAAAACTGGAATTTAGTACACTTGAATTTCAAATAGCAATACTATATTTAATTTCTTTTATCACCTTGGGCAACTCATTTAACATATCTTGGCATTTGGTTCTAAAATATAAAATGAAGCACTAGGCTCCTCATTTTTTAATATGTAGATACTATACTTGCCTCTGGAAATAAATATCCCAAGGGCTTCCATAGACTATAATTTTATTCCTAAACATTACTCATCAACAGAGTCTAAACTTTATATAAAATACACAAAGCAAAACAGTATCCCAGATCCACCAGTTTTTAAATAAACCTGAGTCAACAAGAATGAATTACGTGATGAGTCTGGAGACCACAGGAAGTAGGGCTACCATGTCATTTAAAGGTATTGCATTTGATAAGACTTCCTAAAGTACCTGCACCCTAAGGGAGGTACAGTCTTTCTTCCCATAGCATTAAAAATCTGCCATCCCATAACTTGAAGCTAACTGTCAAGGATGTATAGCACAAAGGCAGAAACATTTTATTTCAAAGATTATGATCTTGTCAAGAAACCACTAAGTTGTCCCTGAATACTGAGGTGGAGACTCACAAGGACAGGAAGTGCACTGGGGAGAACACAGAATGAGATTAGATATTAAGAGAATAAATTCTACTTTGCCTTAAGAAAAAAAAATGTCGTGCTCTAAGCAGGCCTGTGTATTCAGGAAGGTCATGACTCATGGTCTGCCTTCCAGGTTGGAAGTGGCAGGAATATTAACCAAACCATGAAGCCTGCACAGTCTGCCCTCATATTGACCCTCTGGGGATGCCCAGGCTGGAAGAGAACAGAGTTGTATAAGCATCAGCTGTACCCACCACTAGTACTCAGTGAAACTTGGAAGAGCACCTATCAAAGAGAACATCATTAGCACATGAATGAGGAGGCAACATTTCTGCTCTAGAACTTTGAATTCATTAGGATGCGGAGGTTGATTCCATGAGAGAGCCCAACACGGGGAAAGAGATGGGCCAATGGGATGAACTGTGGAAGCTAAGCACAGGGCCTTAGGGATAGTGAACAAAGGTCATAGGAACCCAAAGACTAGTCTGGGGAGAAAAGCACAAAGCAGCAGTTCATTTTTCTCTGCACTGGCCCAGCAGCACCAGAGTCCTGGCAGTTACCTGAGGTTTCTTCACCTTAATGATCCAAGTGGGTGGGACAATAACAGCAGCATGAGCCCCCAGGGAGCAGGGTTCTTCAATGTGATGCAGCATGAAGCAGGTCACCTTATTGTGAAACTAAAGAGAAAAATAGGCCAGTAAACAATTCTGGTCAAAGAGTAATGCTGCGGCAAGAAGGGATAAATATGTACACGCACACACACACACACTCATTACATGCACAAAAATACATATGCATGCACACATGCACACACAGACACACACTGAGGACATGCTTTCCTCATCACAACCCAGCCAGCCCCAGGAGCTTAGAAACCAGATTTCAAATTTATTCCGGTTTACAAACTTATAACATTGATAACAAGAAATCAGTCTAGCCGGATGAAGCCTGCTAAAACTTTCTAATTGTTGCATGGAATATTTACTAAAGTTTTAGAGTCTTGGAGGGTTCTACTAATCCTGATTTTGCGCAAAATTTTCACACACACTTCCCTTGACCTGCACTGGCCATGGACTTGGTTGATTTAAGATAACGTTGAGAAGGAAATGAACAGACAGAAAGGCAATGCCTACCACCTGCCTTTCCTTTCCCTATCATAGATATAAACCCTCCCAGGTTGTCTTTCCAGTTTAGAGAGGGCAGGAAAGAAGCATGATGTCTGTTCTACAGAGTTGAAAATCCCAGAAGTAACAAAGTACAAAGAGATCGTTTCTATTGGGTTTGTCTGGGACTGCTAAAAAATATACAATGACCCTATTACTCTTAGCAAGTCTAAAGTGATTTTTGCTTTCGAAAGGAAGTAAATGTAGGCTAATGATCGAAGCAATGCCACAGTATAAGGGTCTTAATTCTATACCCCAACAGTGACACTCAGACTGGTGACCTCAGCCCAGTCAAGTTTTCAACCATCTTTTGTGTGACTATAATGTGATAGTGGTGTGTAGTAACATTTATTTTTCTGAAAAAGAAAACTAAAATCAACATTATGCAATAATTGTAGGCCTTAAATTTTAATCATAGTGATTTTAAAAATTTAACCTCAGTTTCTTCTTAGATTAGACTTCACCTAACTACATAATTTAGCATTTTAACTGCAACAATGTTAAAAGTAAAAAGTATCACTGATAATAATTATGCTGAAAACACAAACACAAATTAGGACCGTCTCCAAAAAAATCTGGCAAATATGGTCACTCTAATTACATTACATAACATTAGAGAGGTTTTTGTTTTCATGTCTTCATGTCTTCAAGATCTGCTATGATCCTGTGGCTAATTACTAATCAAGCAGTTGTGTATAAAATACTGATAAAATAATTAATAATTCTGTCTGCCACCAGTTATTTATGATCTGCAAACAAATATACCAGAGAAATATTATTAA